AACAGGTTCGGTGGCCTTCTGTGGTGGAGTTACAGCGTCGATAGATACGGGAAGAGCAGCTGACATCCTCTGCCTGGACTTGTGCAAAGCATTTGACACAGTCCCGCACAGACACCCTTGTCTCTAAACTGGGGAGACACGGATCTGAGAGATGGACCACTTGGAATTTAGAAATTGGCTGGATGGTCACACTCAGGGTGTTGCAGTGAAAGGTTCGATGTCTGATTGGAGACCAGTGGTGAGCGGTGTTCCTCGAGAGTTGATATTGGCACCAGTCCTGTTCAACGTCTTTGGACTCTGGGATTGAGCGCACCCTCAGCGAGTTTGCTGACAACACGAAGCTGTGTGGTGCGGTCAGCACGCTGGTGGGAAGGAATGTCATCTGAAGGGATCTGGACAGGCTTGAGAGGTGGGCTTGTGCAAACCCCTTGAAGTTTGACATTGCCAAGTCCAAGGGGGGCCTGCACCTGGGTCAGCAATCCCAAGCACCAATACAGGTTGGGCAATGAATTGATTGAGAGCAGTCCTCTGGCTGAGAAGAATCACAGAATTGTTGAGGCTGGAAAAGACCTCTGCGGTCATTAAGTCATAAAGTCCAGCCTATGACCCAACACCACCACAACGACTAGACCATGGCACTAAGTGCCACATCCAGCCTCTCCTTAAACACCTCCAGGGACGGTGACTCCACCACTTCCCTGGGCAGTGCATCCCAGTGCCTGATCACCCTCTCTGTGAGGAAGTGTTTGCTGATATCCAATCTAAATCTTCCCTGAGCAGTTTCAGGCCATGCCCTCTTGTCCTGTCCCTAGTTGCCCACCCCGGGAGATGAGCCCAACTCCCACCTGACTACAACTTCCTTTCAGGTAGTTGTAGAGAGTGATAAGGTCACCCCTGAGTTTCCTCTTCTGCAGGCTAAACAACCCCAGAGAAGCTTAACATGACCTGACAGTATGTGCTCACAGCCCAGAAAGCCAACTGCATCCCAGACCAGCAGGCTGAGGGAGGTGGTTCTCCCTCTCCACTCTTTGTGAGACCCCACCTGCAGTACCGTGTTCAGCTCTGGGGTCTCCAGCTTAAACAGGACGTGGACCTGCGGGAGAAAGTCCAGAGGAGGCCACAGAGATGGTCAGGGAGCTGAAGCACCTCTCCTGTGAGGTCAGGCTGAGAGAGTTGAGGTTGCTCAGCCTGGAGAATGCTCCAGGGAGATCTTATAGCAGCCTTCCAGCACTTAAAGGGGACCTACAGGAATAGTGATAGTATAAAGGGTAATGGCCTTAAGCTGAAAGAGGGTAGATTTAGATCAGATGTAAAATCCAAATTCTTTACTGTGAGGGTGGTGGGACACTGGCACAGGTTGCCCAGAGAAGCTGTGGATGGCCCCTCCCTGGCAGTGTCCAAGGCCAGGCTGGATGGGGCTTTGAGCAACCTGGGCTGGTGGGAGGTGTCCCTGCCCATGGCAGGGGGCTGGAACTAGATCATCTTTAAGATCCCTTCCAACTCTAAACATTCCATGAGTCTATCATGCACACTGCAGTCAGCTCATCCCAGCATTTCCAAAGCCTCCCCTGAATGCCAGGGCTGCGTTCCCCTTTCCAGAGAGAGTATACCCAGCATGTGAATCTTCCTGTTCATCGGCGCTAAGTTTTGAAACATACTAGTGATGCCTATATGCTTGGATATTCATAATCTCCAAGGAGCATCTTCGGCATACAGCCTGCCAGCTAGGAAGACAGGAGGTCAGTACAAAGTGGATAAATAAAGACCGCATAAAATGGAATCAGGGGATGCAGTGTCAAACCTGATCTTGAGTGCAATTCCCACTGCAGGCAACATGAATGTTACCTGAGGGAAGTTTATCTTCTGATTTCAGTATCTGGCCTGCACCAAAGATGCCAATGCCACTACTACCAGAATATTCAGCATCCCCATTCAAAAAACTTTGGGAAAAGGGGGAGTGGTTTATAACTCAAGAGTAAAAAGGGTTCTTTCTCAAGCTATTACTGTTCCCAGCTGAAAATACCAGTTCTTTGTGGGGATTTACTGTATTTGTTTCTGACCCATTTGTCACCTCCTGTAATTAAATGGGGCTGGGCCTTCCCTAGGATGGGCACAGCCCCACTGCCTTCTCTAACGTGTCAGTGATTGCCCTGGCTTCTACCGCTGTGGAAAGGTGCACAACGATGACACCATACAAACAGCAGAATGTTACCAGCTCAGAGTGAGTGGAAGTTTCATCCACTAATGCTATGGCTGTGTAAATTTGCAGATAATTAGCTTGTCAAAATCCAAGCTGTTAGGTACTTACACCTACTTAGTTCGTAACTGAAGTGCAGCAGCGGAATACATTCTAGTGCCGTAGAAGTTACTCTCAGCTGTCCTGACCAACCGGAAACTGGCTGCTGGCAGAAAAGGAGTACGCTAGCAGATCAACACAAGGTGAAGAAGGCTGGAGTTTTTTTCAGCTGTGTGATATCTAAAAGCCTTGCCGTAAGGAGTAAATTCTTAGCAGGCTAAGTCATGTAACTTTTCAAAGGCATGTAGGAACCACAGTAAAAATTCAGACAGGGATATGAAAAAATTTTTTAATGAAGCATAAATGTTAAAGCATAACTGTACACTTTTGTTAACTTCAAAATGTCATAAAAATATTTTTTAAAAATGTAGTATTCAATAATTGCACAGAATTATATAAAAACTTTACACGATGTATTTACATTTTGACTCACAGTAAAGAGTATTCTTAACTCTGCCCTCACTATTTCACTTGACCAACGGTCTCTGTACTAATGTAGAAATCAGTTTGCCGACCTGAATACAGCAATCCATCCAGCAAAACAGGTTTCAAAGTAATCCATCGAAAGAGCTAAAGAATGAGAAAAGAAAATTAAAAAAGTGTTCTGGTTGAGAGACCAGCCACTCATTTTTGTCACTCTGTGGATAATCCAATCTGAACCATACCTGGAGCAACCTGGAGAGAACAAAGAAATATTTATTTAAAATGCATATTGCATATTTTCAGTTTTCAGGCATATACTCACAGAACATTAAAAAAAGAAAAAGATGAGATCTGTATGTTAAGTCCAGAAATAAAAGTTGGACACTATCAATTCACATATTATAAAATAATACTGGTTCACATTTATTCATCTTCTTATATAGTCGGTTTTTTGGTCCATGTCTGAATCTGATGACTCACTTTCATCAGAAGAACGAGAAGAACTTTGCCATTCAGGAGAGCCCTTACGACAGTGTGGTTTCTGCAAGCTTTCTGCGTCATCCAGGACTTTTGTTTCAAAAGCACGAGTACATTGCCAGTCAACCACATGTTCTTGGGGAGAAAGAAGAGCTGCAGAACTATCCACGTCCCCTTCAGAGGTTCCCAACAGCACAGTTTTTAAGTTAATGGTAAAGCAGGCATTGTTCCTTTGCTTAGAAGAATAGTTAGAGTTTACCTCAGAGAAGGGATTAAGTAATTTGCAACTTGAGTCCTTGTCTTCTTCAATGTCCATCTCATGCTCTTCAAAATCTGGATCAGCATCTGGATTTTCACTTGCCTGGCTGCTGCTGTCGTCACACGTACTATTTGCAGCACACTGCACACAGACATTTGGCGCGTCAGAAGAATCAGGTGCTCTACTTATGACACCACGCCTTGTATAGTCATGATTACTTATGGCATCGCTGTCGCTGTCATCACTGTCATCTTCATCACTGACACCATGACTGGATTCATTTGCCCTTTTTTTAACCTCTTTGTAAATGATCTCTACAGAGACTATGTCTTCAGGTTCGTATGTCCAAGGTGAATAGGCTAATATTCTGATGAATGCCTAGAAGAGCAAAGAAAATTTAAAAAATCAGCCAAATTTGCACACACACACAGAAAAAACAGGAAAAAAACCCCACAACAAAAACCAATCATAAGGATGTCAAACTGCACATTTTTAACTTTTTCTGTAGAGTTCAGGACATCTAGGACTGTTCCCTCTTCTCTGTTCCTGTAAATATGACAGCCTTCACTACAAAACAAGGCACATAACATTGGGCAGCCTCAAAGAAACGACACCAGTGCCAAGCAGTGCCAGCTATGAAATGTTTTAATTCTAATTTTTGAGATATTTTTCTAAGACTAAAAGCTCATTTTAGAAATACCTCTTAAACCTGAGTCATGTTTGGCAGTGTTAGGGATATGAAGGTAATGACACAGCAAAGGACAGAAACGTGAGGAAAAAAAGTCTTAGAGAAATTTGATACCAACATGCTCTGTATGTGTTTTGTAGAAAATGAAAAATGTTTTTGATGAAAAACCCCACAGAATTAAATGTAAAAGAAGTCAGAGACTATTAAAAAAAAAAAAAGCAAGCAAGTAAAGATGGATGGGAAAAAGTCCCAGAAATCTTGTTATTTTTGCTTGAAATTTAGTGGAGGTTCAGTCCCTTCTATTAAAATAAAAAATTAGCTGACTTGGCACTGGCTTTCTCAAGCACTAAAACATGACACTTGATCACATGAAAGGTCAGATTATTTTATTAGAGTGATGTATTACCATTACCTTTCTTCCTTAAGTGCTCTTCCTTAAAAATGGGCTTTTTCTGCCAATCACTATACGTGACTACCGAAAATATTTTAGCATTTGGAAGGTGATATAGGTACTGTTTGCCTTGTGTACATGCCCATCCTCCTCTCTGCTCTCACCTTCAGTACATGTTCTTCAAGAGCTATATTGTGTCTTCTCCTTAGCTTTTTGGTTTAATCCAGCTCCAATATTCAGGTAGACTGTGACAGCCTGATCCAGGAGTTAGTTTCTACGATACTGTGCCAGGTCTAGATTCTGGCAGAGATAACTTGCATGTAAATACCCATTTTTTCTTACTAAGTGTTCCACTTAGTAAGAAAGAGCAATAAATCATTACTGAGATTGGAGAAGGCAGACAGACATCAGACTACCTGGAGAAGTGATCCTGAGCTTGCTAGTAACAGCTCTGGAACTAACACCTAGGATACTTTTCTGGCAGGGACATGTTTTCACATAACTGCATCTCAATCTTCGGCATGTGATACCTGTGAAACTGCAAAGTCGGGGATGTGCAATGTGTATCTGATTTCAGTAAAGAGGACTTTTCCTTCAACTGAGAAGTTGCTGTTGATGCTACAAAGCAGAGTCAGATCTCCTGAGGAACATCATGCTGTTAAGACTGCTTTTTCAGTGCAGTGTCTTATCTCTACCAAGGTCTTTGTTTCCTTGTTGCAGTGGATTAAAAGTACATTCTTATTTGTTGTGTGAGAGATCACTTCCAATAACCATCCTGATCTTGCTCTTATCAGAGCTTTTACTTTTAGCACTTCTCACATGCTGTCCTTGACTCCTTTTGTGGACAATAAGCACGAAGCACAGCTTCACTACAGTGACTCTACTTCTCCAGATGTGTCTAAATAACTAGCCCATCTTTTGGGGATGAGACCAAAACTCCTGACTGTAGGTAATTTTTATGCATCACTGCAGGAACAATATGCTGTGCTGGTTTTAGTGGGATATGGCTTATTTTCTTCATAGCAGCCAGTATGGTGCCATGTTTTGGGTTTGTGCGGGCAACAGTGTTGGTAACACAGGGATATTTTAGCTGTCGCTGAGCAGTGCTTACACAGAGTCAAGACCTTCTCTGCTCCTCTCCCCATCAGTGAGTGGGCTGGGGGTGGGCAAGAAATTGGGAGGAGACACAGCTGGGACAGCTGACCCCAACTGACCCAAGGGATGTCCCAGGCCACTTGGTGTCACGCTCAGAATGTAAACCTGGGGGAAGAAGGAGGACGGGGGACATTCAGAGCGACAGCATTTTGTCTTCCCCAATCACTGTTATGTGTGATGGAGCCCTGCTCTCCTGGAGATGGCTGAACACCTGCCGGCCCATGGGAAGTGGTGGGTGAGTTCCTTGTTTTGTGTTGCCTGCGTGCCTGCCTTTTGCTTTACCTACCGAACTGTTTTTGTCTCAACACATGACTTCTCTCACTTTTGTCTTTCAGATCCTTTCCTCCATCCCACTGGGGGAGAGTGAGCCCCCCACAGGGGGCTGTGAGGGGCTTAGTTGCCAGCTGAGGTTGGGCCATGACATATGCTCATGCCCAGCTGGGTCTCAAAGCTACCTGTTGTCTTTTCAGCTTGCTTTTCCATGGAAATATGGTAAAGAAAAGACGTTGAAGGCAGGTTTAAAACATTTTCTTTCAGTTGTAAAAACTCTCAAAAGGCCTATAAACTTCAGTAAACACCCTTAAATCTTCAGGCAACACCCTGAATTTTGGTGTAATAAACGGAAAAACATAATTAGAGTATTTAGTTTTGTTCTTAGAGAGGACTACACTGCTGCAAGCTGAAATAATGGAGGCAAAATGTGTCAGAAACTGCTTTGCTAAGGAGCAATGAATACATACTGCTGCTGAATGTTTTCAGAGCACCCTTCCTGGTCCTCTCCCTACACACCTGGAGTAGGTTTTTTGTTTTGAAGTTATTGCCCTGGCTCAAATAGTACAAGAAATTTGCCTGCTGCAGGAAGGATTTACATATAGGGTAATTTTGAAAGGGCAAGGGGTTAATTGTCTTATACTGAGTGCCCTGCTGTAGGATCTAGGCTGCTTCTGCGTAACATAAAGAGTTATTTTCAAATTAATTTGGGGCTAGGGTATGTGTCTTCCCTTCATTACTGTTTAACTGCTCTGACTTCATAACAGCCCAGGCTGGAAGGGACCTCAAAAGATCATCTGGCCCAACCTTTCACAGGAGAGGGAACTTGGATGACATTATCTAGCACCCTGTCCAATCATATATTGAAAACCTCCAGTGATGGGGATTCTGCTACATCCTTGAGGAGGCTGTTCCAGTGATTGATTGTTCTCATTGTAAAAAAATTCTTTCTTATATCAAGACAAAACCTTTCATGGTGCAAGTTGTACCCACTGCCCCTTGTCTTGAGTGCCTCTGTCCTGTTTGTAGCTGCTCTTTAAGTACTGGAATACTGTAATGAGGTACCCACTGAGTTCTCTCTTCTCCAGGGAGAAAAAAATCCTAACTGTTTCAGTCTTTCCTCACGGGGCAGGTTCTCTAGCCCTTTGCTCATCTTTGTGGCCCTGCTCTGGACTCTCTCCAGCCTCTGCACCTTTCTTGCACTGTGAGGATCAGAACTGGACACAATAATCCAGGTGTAGCCTGATAAGCACTGAGTAGGTGGGATGATCACATCTCTATCTCTGTTAGTAACCTCTCACAGAAGTAGCAAGAAATGATTTTGAAAAAGATTGAATATTTGTTCCGCAGAACACACAAGATTTAGCAGCCTGTGGACTATCTTTGACATAGGTAAGCTGCAAATTAAGACACTGTATGTACTTACATAACTTGTACCTAATGCACAGATTAGAAATTTCAGATGGTAAACTTCCTCCTCCCAACCAGGAAAGTTAAAGATGAGAATTATTACATACCAAGGTATGCGGAAGTGATTTATTTTGAAGAATATAACCTCCTGCATGCATACACTTCAGCGCACCAGCTAATATCAGTGAAAAACATACAGTAATGGCGATTGCAACTGTATGATAATCTGCAAGTGAAAAAATCCAAACAAATGAACATGAATGAATGAAGTTTCCAACATCCACACACGATATTTCACACTCAGAACAGCTTTTTAGAATCACAGAATATTTTAGGTTAGAAGGGATGTCTGGAGGTCATCTGGTCCAAAGTAAAAACAAGACCAAATCTCAAATACATTAATGAATTATTAAAAAAAAAAATTACACCATCTTTGATAACTATTTATGTAGTTATTGCAGATTTGTGTGGATTAACAATAGATTTGTATGCTCAAAGTGGATAGGGTTTTATATTTTACTTATAAATCACTACAATGTTTATCATTTGGAAGGTACTTTCTCTCTTACCTTTTTAAGAATTAATTGACTTGTAAATCTTCCCACGTAAAAAGAAAACACTTGCACATAATCAAGTCAGACAATCCACTCCTGTACCACAGCACAGTTACCTTGTTCAGCTACAGAGTCCGCAGTTACACATCTCCAGGCTGATGGGATGGAATTTCTGTTTAGAGATGCAATGACTGTAACAGACACACAGTAGTTTCTACCTGGATACAATTCTTCAATGACAGTACTAAAAACTTCCTCAGTGGTTTTCTCACGTGGTCTCTGCCATGAAAAGACAATGTTTTAAGTTACCTATTTGCCTAAAAAGAGATCCCCAGCTGCTGATAAAACATTATCGCTATTTCAGAGAAATGCAGAAGCATGTGACACTACAAAAACTGACACAGTAACTCAGCAGCTCACCTAGCCAATTGCTTCATCTCTAGCTCTAGCTGATGTCAAGATGCCAACTTTACACCTGTTGTGAAATATTGTATTATCAAAGATAAACTGCCTTCTGTTTCCAACTGTTGGTCACTGTATGTCCCACTGAAGTAGCCTCATATACATTCTACAGATTTGAAACTGCAAATGATGTTGTGATTCAGAAATCAGGTGAAAAATATCCATAGCAGGCAAACTGTGGTCCTTCCTCTGTGACTCATGGTAGAATGCATTAGAGAGAATAAATTCCCAACAGATACCTTTCTGACCTGCTGTTCAAAACTTCTACACTCTGGTTAGGCAACTTGTTCCAATTCCAGTGCTTTGTCAACCCAGGTATTCATGTCTCTTGATGTTTAACCTAAAGTCTACACAACTGCCAATTTCACTTCACTGTTTTTGGTCACAGTGAATGGTTTACTTCCCCCTTTTCTGTAGCAAATGTTTACATACTCGGAGACTCTGACCTCTAAGTGTGCTTTGCTTGCTTACGCTAAAAGGTCCCCTATTATTCCAGCATTTCCTCACAGGTCATTTGTTAGGATCCCCCACAGTCCTCAGTGCTCCTTTTTGGATCTTGCTCAGCTGGTCCATGCCTTTTTTGAATCCCAGACTGGTACAGGTCAGGTGGGCTTTACAAGCACTGAGTATGTAAAAATATGATTTTTCTATGTCTCAGCAACAGATAAATCATGTTTAACTTGTAATACTATAGAATACTCCCATCCTTTCTGGCAAAACAGCTGCCTGTGTAGTGTTACCACCCTGCTTATTATGCAGACAATTATTCTTAAGTGTTACGCTTTGCATTGGTCCTTATTGAATTATCTCCTATTATTTTACAATTATTTCTCCATTTCGTGAAGATCGTTTTAAGTTCTAATCATGCCTATCTACCTCTCTATTTCAGCATACAAAACACATTAATTAAATAGTACCAGACCCAGAATAGGTCATTCCAATTTGACAGAAAACTTCTGAACTGCTTTTCTGATGCAGCTGTGCATACACCTACTGGAGTTTCCACTAAACCGTCTTCCCTTCATCTTCCCAGAGAATGATCACTTGAACCAGTGTCCTGCGCGTTATTCCAGTTAAGGATACAGGACAGCGACCAGTCCTTTTCTAGGTCTGCTACTCTGCAGTAAAGGGAAGCTAAGATTATGTTGGCCACCCTCTTTCTTTTTTCCTAAGTATCTTGTACTAACATATTTGTTTCTGTGAATCTGCTAACCATTACAGCCATTTTATGCTTTGTGTATTCATCCCCTAAAGCATAAATAGAACAGAAAGTTCTTTACCTTGTGCTCTCCATTGAATGTTTTCAGTGTTATAACATACTCGAGCTCCTTATATATATCAATTAAGGACAGCAGCTTTTTATCTTTTCTGAAGTGAGAGGTTGGTAGCTTTATGGTGACATTTACACAGTTTAGACAGGAACTGATATTAACTTCTGGTGGTCCCAGGAATGCTATTGAAAAAAAGAGAAAAAATGAATCATGGAAAAAAATCCACACTGTGTATTCAGTAACACTCCTATTTTGGTGATGGCTAAAGAGCTGACTAATCAGATTCCAGAGTACATCACTGTTGTAAATCCACAAGGCCTTGCAACATTTAAGTTCCACAGTCAATTCGCCTCTTTCCCCCATGACTACATTTAAAAAACAGAACGCAGCGGAGAGGAGGGAAGAAGCAGAAATATGACAGAGGCTCTGCTTCAACTCCACAGAGATGTTAGCTTTTTCTCTATGTGAGAGGAAAGCTGGTTACTTTCTTGCTCATCATCTTCTAGTCACTCTCTGGCAGGAATCTTTGTAGAAATTCAGTGGTGTGTAGTCCTGCATATATTCATACTGGTTACAAGGAAAGCTGCAAGGTGTAAACTTGACTGAGCTCCAAAGAATAAACACTCTACTGACAGTAGGATAGAGGAGCTAATGAAACATAACTACACTGCTGTGAGACTTCTGTGGAGATCAAAGTAATTGCTCACATTCAGGTCCTGAAAATGTGTTTGAAAAGCCATGCACACTAATTGTATCCTCTCTCCAAAACTACACATCCATCAGAGAACCCTCCATAGTGAATCAAGCCTCGGATCTTCTTTCCTCCAACACAGGAGGAAAAGTCTTGAGAACAAACTATCGCCATGATCCTCCATTTCTGCATAGCACATTGTGGGGGAAAAAAATCCATGAAAGTCTGCATTTCACTTTTATCTCTTCCATAAGCATGTACATTTTGTTAAAGGTGGAAACTGGTTTGCCAACCTCTGCAAAATTAAAAGAAGCAATACACATTTGATAACTACTTCTGTTCCTGCAACAGGGTAGAAAGAAAAAAAAAGTTTAATAATTAGAAGAAATGTGAGCTTTCACCTACTTTTAAACAGGAAAGCATGTCCTGGTCAAACGGTTGCACAGTTACTCCTTTATCATCTTTTGGTTTAAGTTACAAATAAGCACTAGCTTAAGTCTGGTTATAGTCAAATGTGGTTGTTCTCTTCGCTCTTTGTATGAAGCCTTACTGTCTTTGCTAGAATCTATCTGTCGACAGGGCTGAGATTCCACCTTAGGTATCTGGAGGTAGGTATCAATTATATCTAATAGCTATTGATTCTTTCCTATTCAGAATATTGAGTCTTTCCTATTGAGCCACTATAAATTGATAAAAGGCTACAGGGTTCATCTAAGTCCTTTGCCCTGGAAAACATGACTTCACTCAATTGCTTGTGGGTTGTACAAAAAAACCTACTAGCAAAACATGCAATTTCAGTTCACAAGTTGCCAGTGATGGACAGTCAGTCAGAGCACCTGACGGTTTGTTCCAGTGGTCAATTCAAAACATGCCTCTTGTTCCTAGCTAGAATTTAACAAGCTTCCACCTCCAGTCAGGACACACTGGTAAACTTTTGTTTACAAGACTGAAAAAACCTGCCATCATATTAAGTCATGTTCAATGCATGTTCTGATCCCTCTCTTTATTAAAATAAGTGCTGCAAGACTGAAGGCCTCCAGGTCAGAGAGATGTTCTGAAATCCCTCTGTTATCCTTGTGGCTACTCTTCCCATACCCTCCAATTTTTCATCATTTCTGAGACCATAAGTAAACACAGCAGCAGCTATCTCAGAGCTGAATTCAGAGGTAATGTGGCCTGTTTCTCCTCCACAGTCTTTCAATTGTTCCTCATACTCTGACTCTGTTGCTTCAAAACTGAATATTAAGCACAACTAAGGGTGAAGTCACCTCTAGCATTAGAAGATGTCACAGCTAATAAGCATCTTCTTTCAGCAAGGAAAGGGAAAAGAGCAGGCTGATGAACAAACAAGTAAATTCCTTTCCCTGTACCTAGTGGAGACATGGTATTTCTTTAATTCTTAACACTGACTACTTGAAGACATAAAAACAATGTTAGCTTTTTTAAGTTACATATCTTGTGCAATTACAGATTTTTATTTTGTGCTTGTTAATGCTTCATAAAATGCTATTACCTCTATATTTACATATTTTTTTCAAAACCAGAACCTCATCTGTTTATCAGAACTACTGTAGTCACTAATTTAAAAAAGCTATTTATATATTCTGTCTTGTACCTGATACGTGGTAGATTATACAAAATTCATATTCTGTTAAGACAAAGGAATAAGCTACTGACCAAGTTAGTTTGCAGGGTCCTACTCTAAAGCTAGCAGAATATCTTTTACACATCAGCTATGAATAAAAACTACTAAAATGAGCAAATGCAGACAGAGAACTTACTGTCAGTCTCTGGTGCAAAATGAAGTACAGAAGAATTGAATACTTCAGTTCCTATGAAGCTCTGAACAAAAGTAGAATACTCGGTGGAAATCGTTTTAAAATCATCTGTGAGATTACAGAAGAGTTGTGTAATATTTGAACATTGTTTAGCAGTCATCCAGTTGCTGTAAATCAAAACAAATTAAAAAAAGATAAAAACAATCTATCTGGATACTGTGACACAAGAAAGCATTCGTGGGGGGGAGGGAAGCACTTCAGAGTGGAAAAACAGACAAACAAACAAGAAAAAGCCTTAGTATTTTAAGTCAATAAACATTGAAAGTAAAATTTGTGTCTTATTTTGTAAGACTTGCCTCCAGTCATGGTACAGCACACGATAGTATGTTGGCACGGCTGGATCACTTTTTGCCTGCCAGGACAAAATGTGCTGAAAATTGTGAGATTCCATTTGTAGGTTGTGAGGTGGCCCTCCTGGAAATCTCTCTGGAAAAAATAAGACAAAATCCACCAACGTGAATGTCAAACAAATGTGAGATTGCAACAATTCTAATAAATAAACCAAATCAGGAGCAGCCGAATATACGTCCCAAAATAAAGCAAACATAGAAGAGAGTTCAGTACAACAGAAATAACAATGCAAAGGACTGTCCTGCTGTATTATATTTCTGTTACGTTCTTCCTTCAAAAAGCATTAAGTTTTAAAATGATGCTTGGGGAGGATATGCAAGTTTTTTGAACTGTGTTAGGAAAAGCATTCGAAAGACAATAAAAACTCTTACCAGGCAAACTCCAACAAGCTGTAGACAGAACACTGATGTACACTGGAAAATGAAAGTATGTATTAATGCATTTGCATGTCTACAATATCAGATTATGAGGTTACTATGTTAGAAAAAAGTTTGTTACAGTGAGTGTGTTGAAACACTGGAACAGGTTACCCAGAGAGGTGGTGGAGGCCCCATCCCTGGGCACATTCAAAGTCAGCTTGATGGGGCTCAGAGCAACCTGGTCCAGTTAAAGCTCTCCCTGTTCCCTGCAGGGAGGTTGGACTAGATGACCATTAAAGGTCCCTTCCAGCCCAACACATTCTATGATTCTATGGTATTAATTTGCAACAATTGGAGACTATATTCAGTATTCCCTCGGTGGAACTGTTTCTTTCTTTCACATCTTCCTACTACTTTTCTCTATCCCTTTCTCTCCTTTCTTGGAGTATGAAATGAAGGTCCTCTTCCAACCTCTGTCATTGATTTGAAGCTCCTAGGAGCTAATTTTTGATAACTACACTGTGGTTCAGCCTTATGGCGATCCCAGTCAGATGAAGTCCAAGACTCAGTATGAATAAAAATACTTAAGACCTTGTTATCAAAGACAGTCTTTAAGAAGATTCTGACTACATTTCAGGTAGCTCGCTCTGTCTATTTAACATCATTTTAAGCCACGACAAGAATCTTAAAATAGGGCTGGGAAAAGATACTAACTACTACTGCATGAAGAATATTACTAACCATCTTCACAGATGTCCTTCTTTGCTAAATGTGTGGACTCCTCAAAGCTGTAGTTTAACAACTTTATTATATTACTGTCTTCAGTCAGCTAACGTCTGTAACTTCCTGCTTAAGGTTGTACTTCACAAATCCCTCTCTTTTGTGGCCTGTTTCTGTAGCATTCCCCTGTGGATGTTGTAACTCTACAACATTCTATGCCTGTGGAAGAAAAGGGGAAAAAAAACCACCAAGAGATGCTGCAACACTTCTGTCACAAGGTGTGGTTAAGGGCACATTCAGCCTGTAAGTCAGAGTGACTTCTTGAACACAGCCTTCTTAGAGATCCTGACACTCTAGAGGTCCCCACATCTTCTTGTACAATCTCTGTAAGAGACTGTTTATTCATTCAAGTTCTCACCGTATCTAGAATTCTCTTCCTTGACCAACACAGTTTTGCATCATTTATAGTACGCTCCTGAAATTAGTATTCTGACCCAGCTTCTTGCTGCTTTCTCAGTGCAACAAATACAAGCTTTCTGTCCTCATTTTTAAGGTATTTTGTGGCCTAGCCTTCTACTGATAAGATGCTGATTCCTATACTCAGTTGGCCAAAGAAGTTAAGAGTTTAATTTCAAACATGCATGTTTTTTCTCATGCTTTAGACCAACTCCAGGAAATATCTGCAAAATTATTTCATTATTTTCCCTAAAACTCTTCTCCGTGGACTCTCTTTTGTCTTGACACCTAAACTCTCTATCAAAAAATATGACAATACCCAAAACACTGCTGGCCTGCTACCTCTGTTAAACTGTGTTGATTAATACTGCTTTAATAAGCTCTTTTATTCTCCTCATCTCACTTGAAACGGTAACTTCTGTAGCATAAGGAATGTCTCCAACTACATTCGTTTGGTAACTAACACAGTAGCAACTCTGGCCTGCAACCAAGGTTCTCAGGTGCTACACTATGACAAATAATACAACTGAACTACCTGACGCATTGACAAGATGTGCCACAGTATGACTGTGAAAAGAGAAAAGAAATCTGGGACATATCTTAAAAAAAACACCACAAAAAGTCTTTATGGAGATCTACACATAATGGATGGGACAGGACTATCACAGAACAGTTGAGGTTGGAAGGGACCTCCAGAGGTCATCTGGTCCACCCCCTGACTATGACAAACATAGTACTAGAACATATATTCCTGGTAAAATAGAGGGAATTCAGAAGAGTAGTGGCTCAGTGGAAACTTTTCTGTCTGTGGGCCTCGCGGCCTTGAAGTAAAGGCTGTCAAGCAGCTGGCCAGTGATCTGCGAGGACCGAAGGATGTGGAAAATCACCAAGGCCATGTTGATGTGGAAGGAGAAGTTCCGAAAATAACGCATGACTTCTGATGTGCCGCCAAGAGGACCTTGGAGACTGTATGGGACCTTGGGGACTGTTTGGGTGGCTTGTTATCGGGATAACAAGGATTAATGGAGGATGTGAAAGATAGCCAAAAGAGACGCTGCTTCCAGTGAAAGCTTCTGTAAATACGCAGATATATCAATAAGAGGTCAAAAGTACCGGATAATTACTGATAGCTTGCAGCTGCGAAATATTAAAGAAAAGTATAAAAGGCAACATGTAACTCAAATAAAGTGGATGATTGTAGCATTCATATTGAGTGTATTGCAGTCTCCCTTCTTCACCGCCAACATCTGTCCCAGACACACTGCGAGAACTTCCTAATGGATTAATGCAGTTATTTTATGATCCTTGTGTACTTTTGCAGAGTACTGGAAGAGGAAGAGAAAAGTTTCCTACTCAGTTAAAGAGATACCTGTGCAGAATCTTTATGGTTGCAGGAATATGCCTGAAAATTCGCCCTTTAATTAGCAGTGGGCACACACAAATACACTTGGGCATCTAAGTTTGTTGAAATCATTTGGCATGGATACTTAACCATTTATCTAAGTCTCACAAATATTAAATTATGCTCCCAGCATCCCTTCTGAAATTAGATGCAAAGACATAAAGCAGATCACTTCAGTTGCACATGCAGTAAATTTATATTTCCACAAGACAGTAACAGATCATTTACCTAGAAAATACATCCAGTGGGTACGAATAGTGACGCTTTAACAGTTATTATTCTTTACCCTGTTTGTAGCAGGAATTCTCCCAAAAGGCAGTTCTTCCAAAAGGCACACAGCTTCTAGCACATTAAGGCTATGCTCATTACAGAAACAGTGTCCATACATAGACTCTAGTTACAACAACCTTCCTTGGAGCAAGCCCTTCAGAGTAGGTTAGACTCTTACATAAGACACACAGACAAGAAAAAAAAATACAAGCCAGACCAAATAACTAGGAAATTAAAACTGAGGAAATGAATATGGTCTGTAGACTGAATGGGGAGTCTTCCTTACTATCTTATTCTTTTTACAGAATTAAATGATCCTATCAAAATAATTTCTCACTACAACTACAGCTCAGGCAACAGACTATGTTTGTTGTGCCTGTTAAACCAGAAGCTAAGGAGTCCTGAAAAAAATTAGACCAAGAGATTAAAACAATACATCCAACTAATAATTCATTGAACAGAGAGGTAGAATGTAGTATGCTCTTTCAAAGCATTTAGTTCGTAGGGGAAAATCATGGTTTCATCTGTAGAATGGAGTATGTAGAATATAAGGCACTACATCACAGAATGTTAAGGGTTAGAAGGGTTGTCTGAAGGCCATCTACTCCAACACTCTGACAGAGCAGGATCACCTAGAGTAGATCACACAGGAACATGTGCAGGTGGGTTTTGAAAGTCTCCAGAGAAGGAGACTCCACAACCTCTCTGGACAGCCTGTGCCAGGGCTCCGTCACCCTCACAGTAAAGAGAAATTTCCTTGTGTTTAGGTCGAACGTCCTGTTTTCCCGTTTGTGACCACTGCCCCTTGTCCTGTCACTGGCCACCACTGAGGAGCGTCTGGCTCCATTCTCTGGATACCCACTCAAATCCTGATTCTGTGCACTATTCCACAGAGAGCTCCATACTAAGATGATGGTAACTGATTACTTCAGTAACTCAGAAGGAGTGTTAGTGAGAAATTAGCAGTACTACTTGTCTTACAATATAAAGGTACAGGCAACTTACCAAGATGATAAAAACATATTGGTCCATCCATCAGTATTTCCATAGTGATTAAAAAATATAACCTACTGATTGTAAAATAAGCATTTTGCTTCTGTACCTGGAAATACATTAAAAACAGTCACATTCAGCTAATCATCCTAGCAAATTACTTGCAAGTAAAAAAAGGTCTATGTACAAAAAAATTATTTTAACCTATTCAGTGTCTGGAGGGAGACAGATACTGAAATAGTTACTGCTGTTGAGGTTGGGTGAGGCAAGAATCCTCAGGTTAGGCAGGCAATTTTATCACAATAGCACTTTCCTTTTTTCACATGGAAAGGGCTCTTGCCATTTCAAATAAACACAGAAAGCATTATATGCTAGGAGGCCAGTTAGCTCAGTCAGTAGAGCGTAGCACTAACAACACCAAGGTCATGGGTTCGATTCCCATTGGGTCCCCATGTGTTACCTGATCTAGTCGAGAGATGGTGTCCCTGGTGGCAGGGAGGCTGGATTAAATGATCTCTAAGGTCCCTTCCAGCTTAGGTCGTTCTATGATTCTATAATTATTTGTATTACATCTGAAAACTATGCAACTCCAACTTATTAAATGCAATGAAGATAAACACTGCTTGGCTTTATCTGAAATACTACAAGAACTCATCGATCTTGCAAACAAGGAGGCTAGATCAAGAGGGAGGTTAGAATAAGCCCAATTACAAAATTGTTAATTATAAGGAAGTTATTAAGTTTATGTTAAATTTTTAAAACAAATAAGATCATAGAATCATCACAGAATGGCATCGGCTGGAAGGGACCTTAGAGATCATCTAATTCAATCTCCCTGTCATGGGCAGGGACGCCTCTCAACTAGATCAGGCCACACATGGGGACCGAACGGGAATGGAATCTGTGACCCTTAGTGTTAGCAGCATGGTGCAAGATCTATCAAAATAGTCCCTCTCCTCCATGTTACTGTTTTACTCTATTTATTATCCTCCTAGCATTAATATTCACAGGATCTGGTTTTGAATTACAGAGAAAGCACTAAGGAACAACTGTGAATCTACTGGTGGCTGGGCAAGGGTATAACTATTTCCAAAGAATCTTCTCCTCAGATTTAATACAAATAAATTGGGTTTTAATTTAAAATTATTCTAAAATACAATTTAAATTATTTTCTCTGCAAAACAAAGAGCTTAAAATTTAAAACCACAACAAAGCATACTACAGTCAAACTTAATACAGTATGTTAAAACCAGATGAATCCCGTATCTGAGATGTCAGTCTTCCTCTGCTCAAAGTTTTAGCATGACTATAGGAAGTCAGTGGATAATCATAATTCCACTGACAAAGAGAATGTTGTTTGCATTTCAGTTTGGTTCATTTTAATAATTTATTCAAGCATGATGAACATTTAGGAGATATAAAATACTAGTCCTTCCCTTTTCAATCAAAATTATAAGTGATGGATAAGAATAAAAGATTTACCAGTTACAAAATCTTTAAGTTTATCAGTGCTATTGGCAAATTAGAAAGTGATTGTCATACATATCTATCAGGTTCATTTAGTTTTGGCACTAGTGAACATGACAAAGATAAAAATAATTTGACTTTCTCATTGAGATCAAGCTTACAGATTACACAAGCAGAAAAAGAAAATCTATTTCAACGAGGTTACCAGTTTTCTTCATAAGTCACACAGAAATCTAATCCCAAACAATGTTATCTTCACAGCCACTTTAAAGAATAATTACACCTGCAGGATCTGATTTTTCAGGCTGTTCAAAATTTTAAGCATCCTGAATTCACTTAGCAAAATATTTCCTTTATATCTTAATCCCTACAATTAATCACAAGGCACATTCAAAGCACTTCTTATATAATATTATGCAACAGATGTATTTGCGTACCTTCCATCCTTGATGTACATGCTGTCACAAATAACAACTATTCTGCTCTTGGAATCTGAAGCGACTTGTGTATGGCTCTGTATGCTGAACATGTGTATCCTACATGATGCATATTCAAAGCCAAGTTATGTGTTCAGCACTTTTGAATTCATAAGGAAAATGTGATAAAACAAGTTTATCTCTGAGGTGCAGTTGTCTAAAATCAGATGCTCTTTGCAGATTTATCGATGCCAGCAAAATTCCAGGGGGAAACCATTTGTCAGAACTCTGATTAGCTTTTGTTACTCTTCCACTTTAGAGCTTCAGCAATCCCTGCAGAGAAGCCACAGAAATACCAATAAGTCCAGCCCCCAACTCACTCTATCAGCCTGGGCTCACAGTAACTCTCTGGGGAGCTTCCTGAAATCTTTCAGTACTCAGCTTCACACTTCCACATAATTTTCACTGACAGCTCATTTTTAGCTGGAGTTCAGACTAGATTGTTTGTATTTGCTTCAGGTTAGGAAAAAAGCAGGCTTTGAAGTTTTGAAAGCCCCTGGCTTGTATTTCAGAGAAGCTCCACATCAGTAGAGCTGAAGACACGTCCTGTTCTTTGAAACAAGCAGATGGCGTATTTATTTATAGAAATCTACTTACCCGAATATTGAGAGAGAGAGACAGAGAGAGACCAATGTCTCAGGCAGAGAAGAGCGCAGAGGAACGTTCTAAATCTGCGGTGGCAATGCACGCATGGATCAACTTTATTACCAAAACCACGCGACCCAGGGCATCGCGCTGTGCGTTGTAACGCCCAGGCCCTGGCTTGGCTGGGCCACTCTGGCTCAGTCACTTCCAAGGGTGCGACAATCACTGAACTTGAACGACGCCTGCCCGTCCACCACAAGTCCCTTCCCCACGCACTGCCCGCAGCGCTCCCGGGGAGGAAACACCACTTGCCACAACCACCTCTGCCGGAGCCCACCGCTGGGTGTTTTTCCTTACAAACGCCCTGGCCTTCGGGCTACACGATTGAGCTGCGCCAAAACCTGCCGGAGCGCCCCTCAGGGGCTGTGGCTAGGGCC